TCACTATTAAATGGTTACAATTGACCAACTTCCAAATTTTTTTTACAAGCACACATGATAAATATTACACAGAATATTAAATCATATGATGCAAAAAATCTCAAATATTATTTTGGTATATTTTTTATTATTGTTTTCTTTACAAGCTTTTGATTTTGCTACTTAGCAACCGTGGATTTCAAAGAATTTTTACTATGTTATTTCATTGTTTCACGAATTTTATAAAAATAAAATTTATAATTTTTTATTAAAACAGTCCATGAATGAAGTGAAGCAAGACCAATTATTTATACTAATATATAAAATGTAAGTTTTTTTAAATAGTATGAATATTTATTATGAGAAATTATTTTTATTACTGAATATAAATGTAAAAATAGTCTATTTGTCAATTTTTTATCTACTACTACTATTATTAATGTTATTTTTTTCCAAAATTTTATCAGAGACATCTTTTTTCATTGCAGATGAATATCTGGATATCCAATTTCGAATGGTTTCTACTTTTGGAATTTGTTCAAGTGTAAAATTATTATTATTTGCTTCTTCAATAAGTTCCTGATGCATTGATTCTGGTGTGTATCTTTGGCTTTTATCATAATTACCAGAATGAAAGTAAGTTTTGAGAAAATCTACAATTATTTTTGGCATTCTTTTTCCACAACCTTTTTTTCCAAATTTTTGTTTTCCCTTAACTGCCCATCCTAATTTAAGTGGGAATTTGTCTTCTACACATTGTCTAAATTAATATATTAATATATCATAAATATTAAATTATATGATTTTTATTATATATTTAGGAATATTCTTACCCTTCTTTTAAATTCAAAACATCACAGTGGGAAAAATCAGAATTCTGGAAGTTGGATACATTATAAGTGTCATTATTTACTATAATAAAATGTTATATTCAAAAAATTAAATTTTTTTTGCTAGGATAATTCTAATTACAGTAGTTATCAAATACTTTAGAGTTTACCATTGACAAAATGATTTATTTCATTACAAAGAGTATTTTCAAAATTTTTTTTCTGTTTTTTTCTAATTGATTCACCTATTATTTATTAAATACATTAATATTGACATTAATGAATTTTATGTATACTAGATATTATATTTATTTACCTGTTGCATCAGGAATTGGTATACTCCATTTCTCCTTTGGCATAGAATGTGGTGTGAATGTTGGTTCAGGTTTTGTGA